CCATAGGGGCTGCACCAATTTACAATCCCACCAACAGTGCATTGGGGTTCCTCTTCTCCGCATCCTCACCAACACTTGAGATCTTTTGTGTTTTTCATAGTCACCATTCTAGGAGGGGTGAGATGATATCTCGTGGGTTTATTTGCATTTCCCTGGTGACTCATGTCAGGGATCATTTCTGATATAAAGTTTGGTCCTAGGAAGGGGAAAGCAACGAGTCCATGGCCAAGGTAAAAGCTGGCAGATCCCCTGCTGTAATCCTGCAGCCTTGGGACAGGGAAAGTGCACTGTATGGAAATCAGATAGTTTTTGGCTTGACCCCGCCTCTAGGTCTGGCAGGCCTGTTTCCTCACCTGTGAAACGGGGATCTGCACACCCGTCTCCCGAGTCACCACTGGACTGAGGAGTGTGGAGGTGGAATGTGTACACCTGCGGAACCTGAAGTAATGCAGGGGCCGGCCCTGCAGTGCTGTCTCCTCCTAGGCCCAGGGCCAGGTTTATACCCATTTCTTCTGCTGCTACAGGTTCACCAGGAGCTACAGGGAGAATGGAGATGCTGGATGTCCCCAAAGAGGACAACGGTTCTGCTGGAGAACCTGGACCAAAGGGAGACTCAGGGCCACGTGGTGAGCAGTGGGCGTGGACTGCAATGCCTGCCACTAGGCCAGGCAGGAGGATGTACCTAACCATCACCGGAAGGAGGGTGCCCTGCGGGTGGCGCTGGGATAGCACAGGGAACGCGGTAATACTGCTGGGCAGTGTCTGTAGGATGGTGCTGTTCTCTAACCTCTATGACTGCTCTCACCTTTTCACGCTCTCCCCCTTCGGAGAAGACTGCACTCATTGACTGGCTGGTCCTTTTCCTAGGACCTCCGAGACCTCCAGGTGTGTCCATTCTCTCACTCTCCCACTTCTGAGAAGACTCCGTGCACTGACTGGCTGCTCCTTTTCCCAGGACCTCCGGGACCTGCAGGTGTGCGCAGGCTGTCTGGAAGAGAGGGTCTCTCAAGAATACAGAGGGATGTAGGACCCCAAGGTAAACCAACCCCCAAAAGAGAGCCTGGGCCCAAAGGTAGGAGGTTGGTATGTGGAGGTCTGGAAGGAGAGGGAGGAATGACGATGGCAACCCATTATGTGACCTAAGGATACTCAGCGTGCCAGGGAAGCCAGGCCATCACCACTGGCAGGCCTTGCTGCGGCCTTTGCCCCCACACTCCCAACTCTGGAGGACCCAGAGAGTGGGGTGCACAGCCCCCCAGTTCTCCTTCTCCAGGTGGAGCTGAGGAAATCATCCAGCCTGCAGACACTCTCAACAGCCTTTGTCCCAATCTGTTCCTTCCTCAGGAGAAGTGGGTGCCCCAGGCGTGCTGGGCTCTGCAGGAACAAGAGGCTCCCCAGGTCCCAAAGGAGAGAAAGGTGCCCCTGGTGAGCGTGGAGACCCTGGGATTGCAGGGCCAGCAGGTGAGTGATGGGAAAAGCCGGGGCGGGCCTTTGGTCCTCCTGTTTCCACCTGAAGCTGCAGAGGCCTGTCCCTCCCCTGTCACTCCGCCAGCTGAGAGCTGCAACACTGGGCCTAGGAAAGTCTGTGCAAGGAGGTGCCTCACTGGGCTTGATCTCTGTAACTGGGGAGAGTGCGCTGTGAGCAGCAGGGACAGTCGGCATCCGGGGAAGGCTGGGTGCGGGGTGATGGGTCAGTAGTGTGCAGAGAAGGTGCATGGCTGGCTTTGGGACAGACTGTACGTAGGAAGGTGTATTGCTGGACAATAGCTCCGCCCATATGCCGGGAGGGGGAAAATGCGGGAAAATGTGTGCCGAGCTCACCTTCCTCTTCTTCTCTGATCTCAGGGCCTGCAGGACCCATGGGTATACCGGGACCTCCAGGTGCCTGGGGCCTCTCAGGACCGAAGGGGGACAGAGGTGATCCTGGGTCCAGAGGAGAAAAGGGAGAGAGTGGCTTTCCAGGTAAGGTCATCTTCCTTAGCTCTGGGCGTCCCACTAAGGTGCCGAGGGAGGAGGGCCTTCTAGGTCACTGGTTAGCTCATTGTGGGGGTGGTGGTGTGTGAAAGCAGGAAAGGCTGTTGGACTGAAGGCAGGAAGATGAAGCTCTGGCTTAAACTCAGCACTCAGGGAAGTGACAGCCTGAGTAGCTTCCCATCTGATCACTGGGACAGCTCAGCTCTTCCCAGTTCATCAAAGATCGTTGAGCACCAAATAACACAGGGATGGGGAGTACCCGAGGGACTTGCAATCCACCCCACTTTCAGGAATGTGCTCCCAGACTCTCAGAATTTGCTGTGAAATGCCATCTGGATCAGAGTTAGTGGGGTGCCAGGACCTGCTCAGAGCACAGTCTGCTCACTACAGAGCCTCAGGGACCTGTGGGCAGCAGGGGCAGCTGTGTCAGCGGCTGTGGGCTTCCTGGGGCCCAACCCCTTACCCTCCCCTAGGAAAGCCTGTCACTGAGCACCTTCCCTTGGGACCCCGACTCTGAGCCGATCCTGGCTGTGAGGGACTGGTCTTCACTGGGCCTCTCTCTCCTGCAGACATCGCTGCTCTGAGGCAGCAGGTGGAGGCCTTGCAGGAGATGGTAGGACACCTGCTGGGAGCCTTCCTTCAGTATAAGAAAAGTGAGTTCTGGACCTGGACCTGAACCTGAGCCAGTCGTCAAGGGCAGGCCTCAGGCGGGGTCTGTGTTGGGTTTGGAATTGGCCAGGCCTGAGGCAGGCCTGGCTCTAAGATGGCTGGCGCCAGCATGGTCAAGGCTACCAGGGTCCAGCCCCCACCATCACAGCCACCTGTGATGTGATCCAGATCAATGCCCCAAGCCCAGTGCAGTTCAGACCTTCCCTCCCGCCAACCTGTGCTGGTTCCTGGACACCCCACTACGCAGGATGCATTTCTTATTTTGGGGGGTTAGATGTGAAAACCCCTCAAGATGTAGCTGCCCAGCCCACAGGAGAAGTGACTCCTGACACTGTCCTGAGAGTTGGGGCTGGGAAGCTGTGCTTGCATTCAAGGCTGTGAGAGTCTGTCTTTGGCATTTAGCCACTGAGAGTCTCACCTGAGACAGGCCCTGGGTCCGGCAGCGGGCAGGCTGCCTCTGGGCTCTGCCCAATGCTGGGCTCTCCCGCTCCTACCTGGGTGTTCGTGGTGGAGACTCTCCCCCAACCTGGTGCTGAGGAGTCAGAGGCTCCAGCAGCACAGCCCAGTGCCTGTGCCTGTGGCATCTCCACCTCAGACCCTAATTCCCCCCCTCCTCCCCGCTTTCCCCATGTCAGCTTTGAGCTTACATCATTCAGCAAATCTCATTGATCTAAAGTGGAGTTTCTGAAGGAGGAGAGAATGCAGGGGTGAGAATTAGGGCTCCTACGTACCTAAAATCACTAAGTACCCATGTACCAAGGGTGAGGTTTCAAGCATTTAGAATTTCTCCCTACTCCACAAGCATGCATGTGTGCTCACTCCCTCATATGCACACTTATGCAAACAAAGGAAAATTCGTGATATACATCTGCCACACGTGTGTGTATTACACACATGCCATCCCTCACTTCACATCATCTACACCCAAGAGCACACACGCATATTCAACATACAAGGTGGGCCTTCAGTGCTCCCATGTACCTTCATATGGACATGAGCCATATTCGTGTGTGCACACACAGACCCACCCGGGTGCATGTAGTGAATGGCAGATGAGCTAGGGCTGCTCTGGGCGCCCTCCTGAGCCTGTTGCGAGTCTGCCCCCTGAACCCTTGTGGAAGGGTCACAGTGGCTCGGGGTGCAGCCTGGGCTCCTCACCAGCCCTTTGGGGCTGGAGCACAGCCCTCTCAGGAGCCCTGAAGGCTTCTATGCATGAACCCAGAAGTCAAAGGGATGGAAAATGATCCCGGCCAGCGCAGCCCAGTGGTTGAGTGTCAGCCTATGAACCAGGAGATCACAGGTCCATCCCTGGTTAGAGCATGTGCCTGGGCTATGGGCATGTTCCTAATAAGGGGTGTGCAGGAGGCAGTCAATCAATGATTCGCTGTCGTCATTGATGTTTCTATCTCTGTCTCCCTCTTCCTTCCTCTCTGAAATCACTAAAAATATATTAAAGCGGGCACGCACACACAACAACAACAAAGGGATGGAAAATGAGATAGAATGAGAACATATAGTTGAATGTCACACAGGTGATGCTTTTATAAATTGTATTCCCATCTTAGAAATGAGAAACTGGAAACCCCGAAAAAGGAAGTGACATTCCCTTGTCCACCTGGACAGTCATGGCCAAGGCGGGGCTGAAACCTGGCGTTCTGTCTCCCAGACAGGCCTCTCTCCAGCACTGACTCTCTCCTGCCCCTAACGGCCATGCACCCCTCTCAGCTGTCCTTGTCCTCTCCCCAGCTCTCCAGCCTCCCCCACATGCACACCTAGAGGCCAGCACTGGGCACACACAGTGCAGAGATTAGCACAGCGCTGCCCTCAGATGGCCCACCCTCTCCTCTTCTTTCCCACACCCACACCCGGCACGGACCTCGCTGTCAATGCCACATGCTCTGCTGTTGTGCAGGGACTACAGTGAGATCAGAGGGAGCACCGTCCTTCTTTCCAGCTCTCAGAGGCTGCACGATGCCAAAGCTTCCTGGTCCCACCCAGTAACTGGGAGAGCGATTCTGCCATGCAACATTGGGTGTAATAGAAAGAGCACGTCTCAGCTTTAGTGTGAGATCAGATAAGGGTGACTCCCCAGCTCTACATGTGATGGTCACATGGAGTTGAGCTTCTCACTTAACCTCTCTGAGCCCAGTGTCCTCACCTGTAACTAGACAGGCAGATCCACCTCCCAGAGCGCACCGCAGACCCGGGGTCTCACCTTTGTCCTCCCTGGTGCTCTGAGGCCCTATGTGGGAGGCCTGGGGCTCTGGTTGGAACACAAAGGTCTCAGAGCCATGGAGCTTTGGCAGGTGCCCCCAGAACCCCAACCTGACTGTGCTCTCCTCCTAGTGGAGCTCTTCCCCAACGGCCGAGGTGTTGGCCAGAAGGTGTTCAAGACATCAGGCTTTGTAAAGCCTTTTCAGGTGGCACAGGAAGTGTGCGCACAGGCCGGGGGGCAGCTGCCCTCCCCACGCTCTGCAGCTGAGAACGAGGCCTTGCAACAGCTGGTCGAGGTTGAGAACAAGGGTGCTGCGTTCCTGAGCATGACTGACGCCCAGACGGAGGGCAGCTTCACCTACCCAGGAGGGGAGCCCCTGGTCTATTCCAACTGGGCCTCCGGGGAGCCCAACAACTATGGCGGCAATGAGCACTGTGTGGAGATGTACACCACCGGCAAGTGGAATGACAGGCCCTGTGGAGAGAAGCGCCTTGTGATCTGCGAGTTCTGTGTCTTTGGGATGGGTGAGGCAGCCGACGTCCAGGATCCTGTCCCGAACCTGTGTGCTGCCAACATGACAAGGAAGAGCTGACATCACTGTGGCTGGGCTTCTGCATAGACCCCTGGGATGAGGCCAGCCAAGGGCTCCCATGGAACTCCTTTCTCATAATAAAATACGAAACTGGCTTCACGCACTGGCTGCTCTGGCAGAGGAATTAGGGACCAGCCTGCTTTCCCAGTTGCAAGGGATAAAATTAGGCCCCCAAATCTGAAGGCTCCTCCTCAGCCCTCTGCCTCCTCAAACTGTCAACCCAGCTAGTCACTCCCTCCTCTGTCACTCCCTCCCCTGTCACTCCCTCCCCTGTCACTCCCTCCCCTGTCACTCCCTCCCCTGTCACTCCCTCCCCTGTTACTCCCTCCCCTGTCACTCCCTCCTCTGTCACTCCCTCCTCTGTCACTCCCTCCTCTGCCACT